TTCGTCAAGCTGATGGTCTGGTTGATGCTCGCCAGGGTGCAGCCGCCGGTAGAGGCCACCTCCAGGTCCGCACCGCCCAAACCCCCGTTGGCCAGCAGCCGCAGCCTGGCGAAGCCCGTGGCCGAGGTGTTCTCGACCTCGGCGGTGACGATGGACTGATTGCCCGTCACCTGCATCCTCTCGCACTGGTGCTGCACGCCCTGCGTGCCGCCGACCAGCTGCAGCCAGCTGCTGGTCGTCACGAGCCCGGGGTCCGCCACCAGGGCACCGCCCATGTAGACCGCCCCCGTGTTCACGTAGATGCCCTGGGTGCCGCCGGTGATGGTGAGGTAGTCGTCCGTGGGCCGGGCCTTCACGATGGGGCTCCGCAGCTCCGTGGTGAGCTCCACGCTGTCGGAGGTGGTGGTGCCCGCCACGGCCAGGCCGCCGTTGGCGGAGATGAGGCCCGTGGCCGCGATCGTGGAGCTGGTGTTGAAGGCTCCCGTGGCGGCGGTGCTGCCCACGAAGAACTGGGCGAAGTCCGCCGTGGTTGCGTTGAGGGTGCTGGCCGCGGCCACCGTGACGTCCCGGTCCATGCTGATGCCGCCGTCGGCGAAGGAGGCCAGCAGCGCCCCGTCCTCCTTGCGGATGGTGACCAGTGCATTCTGGACCTGCAGGTCCCCCGCCGAGCTCCGGAGCTCGGGTGCGTCCACGAAGCTCGTGGCCGTCAGGGAGTTGACCGTCAAGTCCGCGGTGGGGGCGACCCCGCCGGTGTTCTCCAGGGTGGTGACGCGGTTGTCGATGGAGGTGACCGTGGAGCCCAGGCTGTTGAAGGTGGCGACCAGAGGATACCGCCCGTCCGACTGGCCCTTGGACCAGCAGTCGCAGGAGATTTGGAGGGTCGACCCATTCCCCAGGATGGGTTGCGCTGAAAGCGGCGTTTGGCAGAGCAAATTGCGGATGATGTTCGGAGTGAACTGGGTCTGCGCCAGGTTGAAGATGCCTCCTCCCTCGGCGCCGGGAGTGGTCACGAAGTAGCGCGCATCGAGCGGGCCCAGGTCGTTCGTGCGCAGGAAGCGGCCGTCCGCTTCGGCCTTGGACCAGCTGTCGCTCCGGATGCGCAGGGTGGACTGGTTGCCCAGAATCGCGTCGCCCACCAGCGGCGCCTCCAGCAGCAGGTTGCGCACGATGCGGGGCGTGAACTGCTCCTGCACCAAGTTGAAGATCTGCCCCGACTCCGCGCCGGGAGCTCTCACGAAGTAGCGGGCGTCCCCCGCCGTTTGGTCCAGGAAGCCGGAGCCGGCGAGCGCATCGTCGATCTCGGTCTGGGTGCGCCCGCTGGTCCAGTACTGCGTGAAGGTGGCCGTGAGCTGGCTGTCCAGCTCGGTGCGCGGGTAGTAAGAGAGGAGCTCGTTGGCCACGTAGGCCTGCGTCTGGGCCTGGTCGTAGTAGCCGGACAGGTCCACGTTGCTCAGGGCATCGGCGATCTCCTGTGTGACCTCTGCGGATGTCGAAAAGTCCAGGAGAGCCGTGACGATCTTCGAATCGACGGCCCCGCTGTCATCATAGCTCGACAGGGCCGAGCTGATGGCCGAGGAAACCGAGGCGTTCGTTGCAAAGTTGGACAGCTCTCCCGCAACGTAGCTGGACACTTCGCTTTGGTCCCAGTATGGCACCAGCTCGCCGGCGATGAGCGCCAGCACCTGGGCCTCCGTGCGGTACTGGGTCAGGTTGAGTGCGTCGAGGGCCGCCGTGATGGCGGCTCCGGTCTCCACCTGCGTGTAGGTCTCGCTGCGCGCATAGGAGTCCGACTCGATGAGGATGGTGTCGTCCAGGTTTTGGAAGGTCGCCGTGAGGGCGCCCGCCACGGAGAGGTTGCGTAGCACATTCGTGCCCCGGAGCAAATTGAAGGTGGGCCCTCCGGTCCAGGTTTGGCCGTTGCTCAGGGTGACGGGCACGAGCGCAGCCGTGATGGCCGCCTGCACTTGCGGGATGGTCCAGTAGGGGCTGAGGTCGATGGTGGCCAGCCCCGCCGCGATGGCGGCGTTCATCGCAGCGGTGTCCGAGTAGGCCGCCAGGGCTGCAGCTATCGCTGCGTCCCTTTGGACGATGGTCCCGTAGGGCACCAGCGCATCGGCGATGGCCTGGGTCATCTGCAGCGTGGTGCTGTAGTCGGCCAGCTGGGTGTCGGTGTAGGTGTTGGCCGACCCGATGGCCGCCACGATGTTCGCCGTGGACTCCGCCCTGGTGAAGTAGTCGGCCAGAGCCGCCGTGATGGCGGAGTTGGTCTCTGCGGTCGTGTACCTGGGAGTCCGTTTGACCGTAATATAGGTGTACGTAGGCCGCATGGCCAAATGACCGTGAAAAAAGACATTGACCGTGAAAAACCATATGGCCACGAAACCAGTGTGAATTCACACGGGGCCTTGTGAATTCACGCGGGGCTGGGAATTCACAGGGTGGGCTTGTGAATGTACAGAATTCGTTGGCTATGAATTGTACAGCGCGTGAAACAGTAGATTGTGAAGTTTCACTCTGTGTTTGGGGGTTTGTTTCTGTGCAAAAAAAGTCTTTTGCACATTTAGCGTGTCACACCCTCACAGCGGTTCGATTTAATCCGTTTATACCCAGATCGGCCAAACGGGCGGTTCAAACCTATAGCTCTAGAATACTTTTGGCTCAGAAGAAGAAAGACAAACTTCTAAATTTCGGCTCGATCCGGGAGAAAAAATAAGAAAGACGCTCAAAGCCTTAATATATGCCCACATATAGTGTATATATATATATATATCGGGCATTTTAAGGCTTTGACCCAACATATACAGAGGCCCTACGATATCGATATATATATATATATATATATATATATATTATATATCTAACTCTCTCTCGAGCTCTCTCTCGAGCTCTCTCTCGAATCTCTCGAGCTCTCTCTCGAGCTCTCTCACTCATATATATTCCAGTGGGGGCAACGAATGTTGCCGATATCCAATGGGGGCAACGAATGTTGCCGACTGAACAAGGCTTATGGCCCCTTTCGATTTCGGATGTCGGCCACGTATTTCAGATTCATGCATTGCGACCGATTGCATGGGATCATGAGCCAAAGCTGGCAATTAACCCTTTGCCTGTTGTCGATTCTTATATTGTGCGATCGTCCGACTGCAAGGTCACAGGAGGCTCAGCGATCCTGCCTCTTCAGCCAAATCAGCACGTCATACAGACATATGTGCTCTATGTCTGATAGATATTTCACCAGCATGCGCTTTTGGAGCTCTCTTGCTCTATTATGGGGAACTTAAAATAGTATTGATGCACACACTCATGGTATATTCATCCCATGTACATTTATCTATATATATATATGTTTGTACGTTCGTGTACGTATATGCATGAACATATATATATATATGTGTGCACATATGTACGAACTTGCAGCCCATCCAGAGCTGCATCGATCAGGTTCTTACAAACATAAGATGTCGTCGCTTACCGTACCCCAACATAATTAAGAATAACCCTACGTTAACCCTAAACCCCGAACCCTAACGTAGAACAACAAACCTTAACGTAGACGTACTGTGTGCCGTCGAGCTCGACGGTGATCGAATGGCCGGGCAGTGAGCCTGCAGTGGGTGGACGTGCCCCAATGGGGAAATTAGCTAGTACCGGGTTTGTCTTGAATTGAAGCTCAGGGTTTCCAGGCTTAGGATAATTTTTCAATAGGGCCTTTGACTTGGGGCTACATTTGGGGGGGGGGGTGTCGGCGGCTACATGCAGGGCGTCCTGGAGCTCCAGGATGTAAACTTTCGGGCTCGGGGGTTATACAACATACACCCCAAGACGAAAGATGGTCTTCACGGCTTCAAGCTAATAAGCCTGGAGCCTCCAACACCCAAAACCTTCCTATCATTTACATCCCGACAACCATACTCAAAGTTTGGATCTTGCATTGGACTGTAATTTCCAATATACTCTATCTCGGTACGCCCTATCTCAACAGGTTTATGTACCTAGGCTCCCCAGTGCAGGCCCAAACCCGACGGAACTTATAATATTCCCGCAAATATGCAACGATCTATGTTCTGAGATCATAGAACATAACCATTTGGGAATCAAAGACGTGGGCTCTATCGCGACAGGTACGGCCTGATGGCGACCCTCATGGACCTCGCTACATCGTTGCCACAAGGTGCTTCCCAGCCCCATTCGTGCTGTTCAGTTCTGTGACGTGCTCTGACATTCAAGTTCGGTGATGCACTGCATGTGGCCATCGCTTCAGATTGGGACTTGTGCAGCCGGGCCCAGGGTTTGTGCTGTCTGCCGGAGTGTAGGATTCTGTAGCATTTAGCAAACACCAATAGAACCATCCACTGGAGGAAAGAAGAGGTACTTGATTCTTCAAGCCCGACTTACCCGCACTGCTGCTTAAGCTTAAGATGACCTCGACAAAAATGGTGGAAGCTGTGGCGGCCGCCTTCGCGAAAGAGCCACGGCTGAAGGAGGCTCGCTCGATCCTACGTTCCCACGGCTAGCTTCATGATCACCCCTTGATTTCAGCGGTTTGTATCGCATTAAGCGGTACTTGTGCATGCAGTACATGCAATGAATATACTCTTGCACAGAAACAGCATGTACGCACATGCATGCCAGCATGTACGCATGCACCAATAGCATACATACTTCAAGGCACACATGCATACATGCATACATACATACGTACATATATACATAATTACGTATACACACATGCATACATACATACATCATATACAAATATACTTATGTACAATCATGCAATGATTCCACCAAAGATTCAAACACTCGTTCATGCATGCATATACACGTACACACACGAACACACAAGCGCACACACTTAGCTTAAGAAGAGCTGCTAGTTTCATCAGACACACACACACACAAACACAAACACCTGGACAAACCATAGACCCGGCAGGTGGGGCTTGCCTTCCTTTGTGACCACTCGGGCAAGCTCTTCACGAAGAAGCCGAGCTTGAAGGATGTTCGATGCAATCAAGATGTACTTGGATTGCATAGGAGTCTGTGCATATACCATTCTAAACATTTAGACGTTGGGGAACGCCATGATTCTGAGGCAATCTTTGCAGTGGTCAAGGCTACGAATGGGGCGAGCCGATTGAGTGCCTACATGCTTCGGGATGCGATCCTTAAGTTCTACACCAATAACCACTTGTTTCCGGCTGGGCTATGTGCAGATGCTGAGTGTACCCAAACCTGGGCTTTGAAGTATGGCAATGCCTTGAAGAGGCTAGTGGCTTTGCTTATTGATATCGTGCCATTCGTTCAGTGCATGTGGTTTCAGGAAAAGACTAGTGGCTAGTGAAGTGTCGTGTGCCAGCTCAGGTTGGCCGCACCCGGCGGATTTGCAAGAGGGCCAGGACTTCCAAGGACCGCAAGCTGAACCCTTTGAGAGAGCGGATCGCTACATTGGGAATAGCTAGCTTGGTCACTTGTCTTTTATCAATCCACATTCTCATTGAGTGCACCATGCATGCATTGGTACGATTGCATCGCAACATGTGCTGCATTTAAACCTAAGGTGTGCAATGACAAGGGTGACAAAGATCATGATGATGACGACTCGAATGATGGTGTGCCTGCTGCACCTGCGCCGGGGCTTCGGATGCTTTCCTTTGAAACCCTGTCTTTGACTTCGGGGTCCAGTGGCTCCTCCTCGTCGGGTACGCTGTCGAGCTGCCTGTCGGTCCGTGATTCTGAGGTCAGTCGTTTGGCTTCGCAGCTTCAGGGTCTTCGTTTGCTGAGCAAGGACTCTCCGGAGGGTCCGAGTGTCGGGTCCAGTGTCTCGACTACGGTGACTACGGCAAGCTTGTTTGACTTTGCTGCGAAAACCGATTCGAAGCCTGCTGATATCCCCGCCGGCAATAAGATCCTGCCTTCCCGGGTTTCTCAGCTGCCATTACAGTGCAGGGTTCGTACATGATCCGAGAACCACTTATACTGCTTTAGACAGCGATCGATTGCATCTCAGGTTTTCGCTGACCTCTCCACGTGGCTGCCTGAACCTTCCAAAGGGTTCCCCTTGTCCAGCCAGTACGCAGGGGCCTTCGATGCTGAGGATGTTGATGGTGTTCATGACGAAGCGCCTGAGGATAAGCCCAAATCGAAGAAGCCGAAGAGGAAGCCAGGTTCCAAAAAAACGGGGCCCACGAAGGCTGAGAATCTGGAGAGCAAGCCAGGTTCCAGAAACACGGGGCCCGAGGCTGAGAATCTGAAGAGCAAGCCAGGTTCGAGAAACACGGGGCCCGAGATTGCAAAGGAGCCTGCTGAACCGCTGGACCCCGATTTCGAACCTTACCTGCCGAACCTCTACAGCGAGAAGCGATTGGCTTACATAGAGGCTCATGCTGTGCAGTATGGCAAGAAGGAGGCGTCTCAGATGTGGAACACGTGCCTTCAGAAGGCTAAGATGCTGGCAGGTGTGGGCCTACGGGAGCTTAAGAAGAGGAAGTTCGTTCCCAAAGAAGCCACCGAAAATCCATTTGTCAAGGTCGTCAAGCAGGCGAAGCTTGCTGCAGCGGGCGGGGCATGATTTTCAACGAAACATATGCGATTTTGCCATGGCCTGTAGCTACTGTGTACAGACTACATTGAAGCCTCATAGCACAGGATCATCCAGCTAATTATGGTTTCGATTGCAGGCCTGGGCTGCCATGCATGTGGCTTGCACCTTAATTATTATGGGCTTCTGCTGCAGGTGGGCACGTTTAATACGTGTTGTCGCATGCAATGGGCTCAACCGGGAATCGCACGGTGGCTGTGAAAGATTGTCCAGAGAGAGTGAATGCATCTCCGGTATCGCAAGGGATCCTGTGTTGCAAGCGACATGTGCTTCAATTCGAGCTTGCTCTGCCAGTACATGTACTGTGTGCGCTTCATGGATCTAGACTTGAGCTTAGCCTGGGGAGTCGGTGATATACTGAGGGCCCCTATAGCTGTGATCGACCATGGTTGTGTCTGAGCTGCTCGCGATGCGGGCCCCGCCTGTCCTTATGCTTATGGTCATCATGCTGATGTGGTACCCTCGTGCGCCGTGTGTTCAGGACCATAACTAGTAGAACCGAGAAATTAGCATACATATGTGTGTGTGTGCTGCAAACTTAAACTTTGGGAGGACCGGGACTTCGTCGAGCTCTTTTGTGGTAAGATGGAGGTATCTCATGCACTACGCCGTGCAACTCGATCGAACTAAAACGACTGTTGAGGTTACTAACCTATGCCCACGGCTCGAAAAACCCCACTTAGCCCAGGCAGGACTCCGTGGCACCTCCCTCGACATCGAGCTGGATCCGCAGACGATGGATTTCCTGAAGCCGGCGGGCTTTTGGCTGCTTGTGTTGCAATTATCAGTTGGCCACCCATAGCATTCACAGGACGATTGCAACATTGTGTGGTATAGCGGTATAGCAGTGTTGCGATAGTTCAACACCAAACTACTGAGGACTTTGTATGTCACAGTGGTTACTTCCACGGTCTAGAGTATGAGTATGATCGAAAGGTTAAGACTATATCCTTTGGCGAGAACATAAAACTATAATAGCACTGCAGCCATACCTTCCATGTATCGTCGTCATGTCCTACAGATAACATACAACAAACTCCGAACAAACTATTCTGTATGTATGATATATATATATATACATATCTTTCCCCCAGCTATCACCAATAAGTACTTCTAGCCATATATGTGGAAATCCGAACCATAGTAGACTAATTATATAGTCTCATGATTATAATTGATGCACTATAGTAAACCACCTAAGCTTCAGTATACAATTCACAACACACGATTCTTCCCGGCTTATCTAAGTCTGGCCCTCCTCGAAATCCTACGCTGCCGGCCGGGCGGTTTGGTACTGATGGCACTGGACTGCAGGAGCTTCAGCACCATGCATATCGATTGCAATTTCCGATGGGGGCTTCAGTCATTGCCATGCATTGTAATCAGAACTGACGAATATCTTGCATCTCAGGTGCCGTCATACGTCTGGACGGTCGATATTTCGACCCTATGGAAATGAACAATTTCCGTTTGTCTCTGAGGGCAATGTGCTTTCAAGCAGAGTGATTTTGCTGATCTTCGTGTGCCAACTTCGGGGTCTTCGATGGGTGGTGGAGCAACCTTGTCGGTCTTTCCTGCCTGCTATGCCTCGATTTCAACAGTTGTTGCGCTCCCTGAAGGCCACGGGTTTCTTAATTATGGGTCTGCATGCAATCAAACCGACAATCAAGCTTTCACGCCGGGAGGTCTGGACTGGAGGCTTCTGGATGGGTATGTTCGATGGGCCATCAGCGAAGCGACATACACTCTGGAGCAACGAACCAAGGTTGATTCAAGCAGTGATCGACCGAGCTGATCGAATGACGCCAGGTAAGATGTCGACACTCCACCCGTTGTGCCACTACTACAAGGACTCACTGGGAGTACAGCGACGAATTGGCAAAAGAACTGAACTGAAAGCCTCTCAGATCCTCGACCAATAATATTACATGCTAGCTCGGACCCGCTCAGGCCCAGACCGTTGGAAACACGGTTTGCATGCCGCAAAACAGCTTCTGAGCTAAGGAACTACACGAGGAACTTTGGTGAGTTCCTGGCTGGTGCCTTCCTGCACCTCCGGTCGGCACCATTACTGCAGCTAGATTGTATGGGTGCAATATGACATAATTTTACTTAATTCTATATAGCCTCGAATATCTCAGGAGCCCTTCGTTCCTGAGAACCGCCTCCCGGGATTGCGAGCTGATGATCTACGGAAATCCGATTATGAGCTCTTCGTGCAGGAGTGCTTGTCGGAGCGGGGCATTAATGGATTGGGGGATCTTTGGCCTGATGTGGCTTAGTTTGAATTATGAATAGGGGTTCGATTATGCTTGATCTGCGATATATGTACCATTCCCCATTGATCCCGATCCGAGGCAAAAGCCATCGATGTACTTATGTATATGTCCAAATCAAAATCCTTGGAGCTCCCTGGAAATTGGGTATCCTGGCTTATTATGTCATAAAGAGTACAAGAGTACAACAACCCCGAAAATTCACAAATATATCTTCTGCTGGGATCCCAGGCCAATGTGCTCTCGATGATCGGCTTGGGTGGCTGAACCTGGGCTTTCAGCTCTTGATCATTAATTCAAGGGGGTAGTTTAGGCTACAATGGCCTATGCTGTGTGCTAAGCCAGCTGGCCGTGAATTTCCGTGAAAGCGCCGTGAGAACCAAGCAAACAACCGTGAAACCAGCGTGAAAAATGTGAGTTCACACGGAGCTCTTTTGCTGAGTGTCCTGGATGCACGTTCATGCGAAATCACATTTTTTCACGTTGCTTAAGTGTGGCAAAGCTGTTGGGTGTGAATTCTGATGTTCTTTTTCACGTGACTTCACGTGTTGGGCCCTAGCTGCCAATTTAGCAGTACGTAGTTTGTGCTAGAGCGCGATGGGAAAGAAGACTGCGGCGGCAGACCCGCCGGAAGTGGCTGATGTTATGGCTATGCTTCAAAGCAAGGGATTGCTAAAGCGTGGTCCAGACGCCCCGGAAGCAGCTGCCGAGCCTTCTAAGAAGTCTAAGACAGCTAAAGCTAAGGCCAAGCCGACCCCGACGTCCGAAGAGGAGCCCAAGGTTGAGACCCGAGCCAGGAGCAAGCGCAAACCCGCCGAAGCCCAAGCAGAAGCTGAGAAACACGATGATGAGAAGCCACCCAAGAAAGGGAAACCCAGCAAGGGCCAAGCCAACAAGGACCCCACCGAGAAGCAGGAGGAACCCAACGAGAAGCAGCCGCAGGAGAAACCCGGCAAACCCCCCAAGGAGCCGAAGAAACCCAGCAAGGAGCAGTCCCAGGAGAAACCCGGCAAACCCACCAAGGAGCTGAAGAAACCCAGCGAGGAGCAGTCCCAGGAGGCCCCCGAGGCAGCTGCCGATGAGGATCTGGGTCCGTTCGAGGAGTTTCCACCTAAGACACCCGGGGCTTGGGGTGAGGAGTTCTTGGAGACGGGGCTTAATGTCGTGGTGAGCTGGAAAAACTTGGATGATGTGTGGCGAGCTTGCAGGGCTTCCGACAAGCCGATGTACAGAGACATGCAGTACGAGAAGCTTCTGCAGATGATGGAGGCGGCTCTTGGTCCCCGGCCCAAGCACGTGCTTAAGCCTGTTGAGGTCCACCTTGCTGCTGAAGAGACCCACCCGGGCCCTGTGTTGGAGGACGAGTCCCTGAAACAAACACAGGAGCAAGAGCAGTCTGACGCGGAGCAAGACGACCAGGAAGGGGAGGAGGAGGAAGCAGAAGAGGATGAGGAAGAGGAAGAGGTGGAGGAAGTGAAGAAACCGCTTCCTAGCAGTTCTAGCGCCAAGCCACCGCCTGAAACCACAAGCCCGCCGAAGATCAACACGTGGAATGGCGTCCCCAGCCCTGCAACGAAGGAGAAAGCCCGCTCCGAGAGCCCTGAACAGGCCCGTCACAAAATGCTTTGTTCTCACTAAACCCTAAAAGCCTTAAAGGCCCTACCTAAAAACCCTAAAACCCTAAAGCCCGAAAGTATACATGTTGTTGCCAAATCTTAATGAATCCTATGTCCGTGCTAGAGGTGAAGCCAACAGACCTGAACAGCAAGTTCAATCGTGTACGGCGGTCGAAGTCCGAACAGCCCCCGTGCTTGCAACAATCGGTCCTTGATTGTTTACATGCAACCGATGATCAGTCGAAGTGTGCACTGCATCGAATGCATTGATCAACTGAGGTCCCTGAGTACTTTGGTGCTGGGTGCCCACCTCACCGATGAGCAGGCATACTCGAATCGTCCAGCCTCGGAGGTTGGTGCGGTTCCCGCGGAGGATCTGCATGAAGGGTGTCATGCACTGCATGCAGTTGTTCTACTATGTACTTTGCCTTGCATGCTGCCTGCCGATTTAATTAAATCCCCTGATGCAAGAGCGATCTGAGGTTGATGAGTGCATCTCAAGCAGGCAGCGACAGCGAGCTACGAAGTCTCGTGACAACGATGCAGTCAGAGATCACTAGGCTGAAGGCCATGCTGGCTACGAAGGATGCGAACCCGGGAGCCCCGCCGGCCACACCGCCGGCCGCACCGCCGGCCGCACCGCCGGCCGCACCGCCGGCCGCACCGCCGGCCCCGCCTGCGAAAGCCTCGGTTAAGCACGAGGAGAAGGAGTCGGATGGGGAGGATGACAACGGGGAGGAGCAAGAAAGCGAAGAGGAGGATGATGAAGAGGAGGAGGAGGGGGATGAAGACCACGAGACCCCGCCACCAAAGGCCAAACCGCCTGCCACAACCTCTGTGACCAAGACCAACAAGCCTAAGGGGCCCAACTCGTCGACCCACCGTGCTCAATGGATGAAGTTCGGTCGGCGAATGGACAGCCAGGGCTCGGAGTTCCCCGAAATGACTAAGCTGTGGACCGGAAGCAAAGACGAAACCTGTCGAGTTATAGCATGCATGCTCTGCTACATCTCGAGTGTATAGAGATGTGCACCCTAGCCGAGGAACAGCACGAAGTGTTCGCGAAATGGCTCGAGGAGGGCCAGAACATGAACAACACGGAGGCCCAGCTGATCATCACCAAGACGAAATCGGCCGAGGTGAAGAGTGGCTATGAGGAGCTCACCGTGAAGGAAATGGTTGCGAGAGGATTCAGTGCGAACCCTGATTGCACTGCAATGTTTGCAATATTACTATCAATCCTTTAAACACAACACTCTGAGATGCTATTTGCCTCCTCATCTAAGGACAAAGATCGAAAGCATAGTCAGAAAGGGTGGAACCCCTGACCCCGACGCCCCTCACTGCCTGGAATCCATCGTGTATGTTTGCCGGAAGAAGAAGAACGTGGAAGAATCCGAAAAGGTTTCCCAGACCGGCGAAATCAAGTCGAAGATGAAGGCCACTGCCAAGGCCGTGGCCCCGTTGATGAGGCTGAACGGAATGCCGGGGCCTGGATCGACCTCGGGCGCCACCGATGCAGTTTTGCAGCTTGCTGCGAACGCTTTTGCTTCGGGCACCGAGTCAGCATTGAGGGGCTAGAGGTAAAGGTTCCACGCATGCACGGTTTGGTGGTGTACTCCTGCTCTACCTGACTCTACGCACCGAGGATCGGCCGACGCCACCGCCGCCGCCCCCAAGAGGAACCCGAAAAGCAAGGCCAAAGCCAAGGCAAAAGCCTTGATCCAGGCGCCCAAGACACCCAAAGAGCTTTTGGATGAATGCCGTGTCTCGGTTCGTCTTAACCACTGGACCCTCAAAGCCCCCATACAAAAACCAATCAAGCTTTTCCCAACTCAGGCAAAGAGCTGAAGAAAGAGTACAACGCCGCGAATATTTGCTACGACCTGCCGAAGGACAATGCTTTGCGGAAGGACATGGAAGCCAAAAAGGGCGATCTGGAAAACCGGCTGGATGAGCTACCTAGCTGCCTACATACCCAACCCCAGCTGTAGAAGCTCTAAATAATCACGCATGCATTGGCTACACCACTTATACATAATAATGGGGTCCCATGATCTGAGGCTGAGGAGTGTGGCGGATGATGATGCCGAGGATTTCGTCGACGAGTGCAAAGCACTGGCTGCTAGATTGCAATCTAAACAGTATGTGCACCCCTTTAGAAGCCAAACCCGAAACCCTTATGCCCACCAAGGTCGAAAACACCCGGATGGTGCGAGCACAGGTCCGTGCTGTGGCAGCTGAGCTCCAGCGCAAATCTGCTTCGGAGACCAAGTAGAGCAGTCCTGTGTGGGAGGACTGTGGGGTCTAGGGCACACCGCTTCTGCATCGAAGGTTGTACGTATGGCTGGACAATCCTAAAGACCCAACAAATCATATGAACCGCTCGACCCTTTATGACTTCGTTGTGGGGGATAGCCTGTGCCCTAGCTGTGCTTTTGAAGCAGGGGTGATGGTACCTAGATATGTGCCATAGATTCCCTCGGCTTGCGATTGGAGCATACGATCACGATCTGAACATGCTGGATAGCCCAGTGTGCTGTGCTCGATGCCACAAGATCGTGACCTCAAGACTGCTGCAAAAAAAGCATTGCATTGGCACTTTGTACCGCTAGCTGCATGTTGTGATTATGAGCTGAACCCAATATGTGTGAACCCACGCAGGTTCAGAGATTTCTTCGATACGAGATGAGCTGGATCGGGTGTTACTCGGCTTTTATGGGGTTAGACCGGCAATGATGTAGTGTCTCTCACAAGCTCAGGCTGGCAAAAACCATTGGACGTGGCTATGCATCTGTCAAGCATGCTGCAGAGATCGGTGCTGTGGCGGGCAGCAACCTCTTGAAATCGATGCATGGTTTAAACTTATTGACTTACTCTGAAAGTTACGTTCAAGCCCGAGCACCTCCGCATACGATGATCGTCGTTCGTTGTGTCGAACCTCAGGAGCAAGGAGCAAGGACTTCATGAACGAGCCGCTAAGCAGGGGCTGGCTTTGAACTGCGAGGTGTCACAGGTTTCTCTGCCGATGCTGGATGATGACAACAACGTAGTCTGGCGAGACTGGCCGATGATATTGCCGCACAACTTCGAGCTTAGACTGCAGCTAGCTGGGTTATGCTAGTGTGTACTTCTGATATGTAAATAGTACACGCGAATTAATCAAATAAGGTTGCTGCAATGGCCCGTCATGGTCATCTTGATATGCTGGTGGCTGACTGGGATATGGTTCCCGGCTACTGGACAAATTTTCTTCGCGAGTACCCCGGGCACCCTGCAAGGGATAAAATGAGCACCTCCATACCATGCACCCTCTACTGCTACTGAGCTATTTTAAGAAAGCACAGCTGTTTGGGTTTGGTGCTTTTCTAGATTTGGGGACGTAGGTTATTTTTTAGTTTATAGTAACCTTATCTATTTGGTTTTTAAGAAACTTCTCATGGGCACAGGTGATGAAGCTACAGCTGTGAACGAAACCTGGATGTTTCTTATGTTTACAAGTGACCTGCACCCGGCTCCGGGACACTCTGCCTCATCGCGATTCCTATGTGCAATCATACCGGTATCAAGGTATGTGTTGAGTGGTGATGGTACAAACCTGACTCTGCAAGCAGCCTGCTGGGAAATTACGCAAAGCTTCAACAAGCTTTC